GTGGGGGGGCACAGGGGGGTGGGGGGACAGGTGTGTGAGTGTGCAACAGGTGTGCAGGGTCGGGTGTGTTGACAGCTGTGGCACGGCTGTGCCAGGTGTGTTCTACGTGTGCCACGCCTGTACACCTGTGCCACACCTGTGCCAGGAGTGTTCTACCTGTGCCACACCTGTACACCTGTGCCAGGCATGTTCTACCGTGCCACACCCATATCGCACCTGTGGCACACCTGTGCACCTGTGTCACACCTGTGCCAGGCGTGTTCTACCTGTGCCACACCTGTACACCTGTGCCAGGCGTGTTCTACCTGTGCCACACCCATATCGCACCTGTGGCACACATGTACACCTGTGTCACACCTGTGCCAGGCGTGTTCTACCTGTGCCACACCTGTACACCTGTGCCAGGCATGTTCTACCTGTGCCACACCCATATTGCACCTGTGGCACACCTGTGCACCTATGTCACACCTGTGCCAGGTGTGTTCTACCTGTGCCACACCTGTACACCTGTGCCAGGTGTGTTCTACCTGTGCCACATCTGTGCCACACCCATATCACACCTGTGCCGCACCTGTACACCTGTGTCACACCTGTGCCAGGTGTGTTCTACCTGTGCCACACCTGTGCCAGACCTGTACACCTATGTCACACCTGTATCATACCTATGCCAGGTGTGTTCTACCTGTGCCACACCCATATCGCACCTGTGGCACACCTGTCAGCAGTGAGTGTGCAGGTGTGAGGTCAGGTGTGTTCTACCTGTGCCACACCTGCGCCACACCTGTATCACACATATATAACTGTGCCAGGTGTGTTCTACCTGTGCCACACCCGTGCCAGACCTGTACACCTGTATCACACCTGTGCCAGGTGTGTTCTACCTGTGCCACACCCGTGCCAGACCTGTACACCTGTATCACACCTGTGCCAGGTGTGTTCTACCTGTGCCACACCCGTGCCAGACCTGTACACCTGTATCACACCTGTGCCAGGTGTGTTCTACCTGTGCCACACCTGTCACAGACACCGAGCACTCTCTGCCCTGCCATTTCAGGGGGGTGCAGGTGACAGGCTCAGGTGTGTCACCCCCAGCCCAGGTGTGCTCACACCCAGACCAGGTGTGTCACACAGGCTCAGGTGTGCTGTACACAGCTCAGGTGTGTCACACCCAGCCCAGGTGTGCTGTACCTGGCTCAGGTGTGTCACACAGGCCCAGGTGTGCTGTACCTGGCCCAGGTATGCCCTACCTGGCTCAGGTGTGCCGTACCTGGCCCAGGTGTGCCCTACCTGGCCCAGGTGTGCCATACCTGACCCAGGTGTGCCGTACCTGGCTCAGGTGTGTCACACAGGCCCAGGTGTGCTGTACCTGGCCCAGGTGTGTCACGCCCAGCCCAGGTGTGCCGTACCTGGCCCAGGTGTGCCGTACCTGACCCAGGTGTGCCGTACCTGGCCCAGGTGTGTCACACAGGCCCAGGTGTGCCGTACCTGGCCCAGGTGTGCTGTACCTGGCCCAGGTGTGCCCTACCTGGCTCAGGTGTGCCCTACCTGTCGCAGACATTAACGAGTGTGCCCTGCCCGGCGTGTGCCAGCCCGGCGAGTGCCGCAACACCCAGGGCAGCTTCCGCTGCTCCTGCTCGGCCGGGCACGTGCTGGGACCCTCCCGGAGCCAGTGTCTGCGTACGGGGGGGCTTGGGGGGCTTGGGGGGCAC